TTTAAACTATAATGATCGCCAATTATTGTCAATAACTAATATCACGTCATTGCATACTTTACTTAAATATGATTGAGTCACGCCTATAATTATCGTAGTCACGTTCTTTTAAGGTCAATGGATACATACTATCGTTTCTGTCGAAATTGGGTGAAGGTCATGTTTGTTTACTTCCGGCTCCATACGAGCATCTCATACTACTTATGTATATATATATAATTGGAAAAGGTATCTTGAATATAAGATACTAAAACATATTAAGGAATTAAGTATGTTATGAAGTGTACTGTACTTCAAAAGTCTCATTATTATTTTAAAGTAATGTTTCGGTGATTTGTCCTTCGCCTGATAGGTTTTTGGCAGACTTCATCCATATGTTTGAGCTTGTTTGGGAACGACCTTTCCATAAGCTAGCCCATATCAACAGGTTTAGACGGAATCTGTTGATCTTTATCTTGCAATGCGTATCTACGAAGTTCTGTCTGGTTTTCGTATCTACGTAAGAGTTCTTATATACAAATGTATCAAATTTGGTATTCACACATAACTATTCATTAAAAAACAACATGCACACTATTTCTTAATACCTTAGGCTTATAAAGTTATTCTTAACATTGATGCTTCAATTAAACACCCGACTTGTTGTTCTATCTTCAGTATTTAATATCTAAGCTGCTATTTAATGTAAGTGATGCCCAACCTGGAGTTTTTTGTAATTTTATAAATAGCCAATCTTCTGTGTATCCCATTGTCCAGTATTAAATATTTAATATTCATCCAGCAGCTCAGATAAGTGATTTTCAGGCTGGAATCTTCCCTGTTTTTGCGCCTTTTATTTTCATTATATTCTAACCTCATTATACTCTTAAACATTATATAAGGACAAATTTATATGGGATTAGTTTCTGAGCTAAAATCATTAATTTTCATTGGCTCAGTCAGCTTGATTATTTATGCTTACATCTTGTTTACTTGTATAATGTGTTTTAACTTTCTTTGGCTGGCAGTGATCTTATATAGAATCTTCTTTAACTGCTGAACCTTCATATACATAGTTACTCGTGAAGCATTTATAATGCAGCCTCCTGTATTTCGCTACTGGTTAACCTCACCAGCAGTTTAAGGTACGAAATACACTAACAAGGTGAAGAGTTTTTAACACAGTCTTCTGTTGAAACATTGCGTGGGGCTTATTTCCTGATATGTTTTTGTTTTCAGTGTTTTTCGCCAGTTTGATTGATCTTCCTTCTTAAGAATTAGAGATATGCGCTACATTTTCTAACAGGTTAGTAATTATCATTCTCTAACAGGTTAGTGTTCAGCATTTTCTAACAGATTAGTGTTTATCATTCTCTAACAGGTTAGTGTTCATCATTCTCCATTAGGTTGGTGTTCATCATTCTCCATTAGGTTGGTGTTCATCATTCTCTAACAGATTAGTGTTTATCATTCTCTAACAGGTTGGTGTTCATCATTCTCTAACAGGTTGGTGTTCATCATTCTCTAACAGGTTGGTGTTCATCATTCTCTAACAGGTTGGTGTTTATCATTCTCTAACAGCTTAGTGTTTATCATTCTCTAACAGGTTGGTGTTCATTATTCTCTAACAGGTTGGTGTTCATTATTTTCTAAAAGGTTAGTGTTTATCATTCTGTAACAGGTTAGTGTTTATCATTCTGTAACAGGTTGGTGTTCATCATTCTCCAACAGGTTAGTGTTTTTCATTCTCTAAGAGGTTGGTGTTCATCATTCTCTAACAGATTTGTGTTCAATCGTTCTCTAACAGGTTTGTGTTCAATCATTCTCTAACAGATTTGTGTTCAATCATTCTCTAACAGGTTGGTGTTCATCATTCTCTAACAGGTTGTTGTTCATCATTCTCTAACAGGTTGGTGTTCATCATTTTCTAACAGGTTGGTGTTCATCATTCTCTAACAGGTTGGTGTTCATCATTCTCTAACAGGTTGGTGTTCATCATTCTCTAACAGGTTAGTGTTCATCATTTTCTAACAGGTTAGTGTTCATCATTCTCTAACAGATTAGTGTTCATCATTCCCTAACAGGTTGGTGTTCATCATTTTCTAAAAGGTTAGTGTTTATCATTCTGTAACAGGTTAGTGTTTATCATTCTGTAACAGGTTGGTGCTCATCATTCTCTAACAGATTTGTGTTCAATCGTTCTCTAACAGGTTTATGTTCAATCATTCTCTAACAGGTATGTGTTTATTTTTGGATGGATGACAGTCGCAGCCGATAAATTAAGCAGAAATAAAAAAAGACTACATGGAAGCACAATATTTCTGTTTATGAGAAGGCACTTTTAAGAATTGAGACAAGAAACTAGATAATTGTTATGATTAGAGAAAATGTAGTAGGTTTAGCGTACGTGTGACGTCACTAGACACAATATGGAACCAAGCTTAATATTCACCTATCTAATCCTTAGTCTTTACCCTTTATAAAATACATGGAATATTCGTTTCAATTTACTCTCAGAAATGCGACGTGTTGACCATTAAGTACTGCATATTTGCTATCTTTATTAACGTTTTTAGTTAAATGTGTGAATATTACAGCCACGTGTTTTTGTTTTTGTTTCAGGACGAGAATATGATGAAATCTCTAACATTACTGGATACCATTCTGTGACTAATGACAGTTGTACCACCTGCAGCCAAGAGCTTCCAATCTTTCCGGAAGAAGAAAAGAAATACTTCCAGGAAATCTGTGGTCAGACTTAAGAAGAAATGTGCCAAGTCGATGTTAAAAATCGTCTACTTCCAATTGCTTTCCTTTCCAGCGATGAGACGTATAAAATAGAAAATATCCATTGTAAAGTGTGCCAGAAGGTAGCACAGTTACATATCAGTTTGGTGAAAAACTATTTTAATGAAGTGTGCGTGTTTCAATTTGTTTGTTCATAAAACCTTTAACAATGTTTTCTTTTTTAAAAATTGTTCTCAAGGCTATTCCTGAACCAACTGTTAACTGACTTTCTAATATTATCAATATAAAGGTATTCCAGTTAACGCTTCTATATTGAAACGTACTGTTCGAGGCGGCGATAATCATCATTTGAATCAAGGATAATTATTGAACAGCCGACATGAGCGTAAATTTCCATTCAATTCTTAAGCTGTGTTTCTGTTTTAGAGCTTAAGTCATTACTAATGTTTTATGTTAAAATATTAGAAATAGTGAACAATTAAAATGAGAATTTTTAGATCACTGGTCACGTTTTGTCTTACATAATGCTATAATAAAAAGAGAACTTTGTAGCCCCACAACTCATTTCAGCATATTTTATAATTAGAGGCGAAAGCTTTGAACCTTTTACCTAACGTTTTCATACAATCACATTTACAGAAACAGGAAATGTATAAAATTTGGGAAGGATATCTTCATCAAAACTCAATGAAGTAAAATAAATTTAAGTTTTATAGCTACTTAGTGACGTCACCAACCTTACGCATTTTTAACAAAGCCAGTGCAAGATAGGCAGAACGAAGGTCGACACGGCATGAAAGAAGCATTGTCGTTTCTATTTCTTTGTGAAAGTAATTTAAGTCTTTAACAAGGTCACTTTTGCCTTTGAGAAAATAGAATAAAGTCAATCTCATGCACTATGTACGCATCGTAATTAGACTAATTATCGAAGAAGTGAAATGTTTTACTCGAATTACGAAGTTCTTGAATAACTTGTAGAAAGAATAAAACAGCTGTTTCTAATGCATTTGATTTTGCTAACTCTAGCTGGTCATGTAATAATATACAAAAAGGTTAACAGAAAAGTGTATTTACCACGTGTGTTGCCCTTCAATTAGTTAGTGTATAGCTTATTTGTTTAATCATTCAGTACAAAAAGCAAACAGTGTTTCATGTGGCTACCTTTCAATTTGTTTCATATGGATACCTTTCAATTTTCATAACGGTTAAACATTAAAAATACACATAGCTTTCTTTTTAAGGGCTCAACATCTTTGGTCAATTCTAAATGGTTGATGTGGCAAAGACATGGCCAAGAGTATGATAGTGTATAAAATATACTGTATATGTAGTTCTGCGATACTTTGAAATCACTATTCAGGTTATAAAATGACTAAAAGAATGTCATTTTTTTATTGTTTAGTGTAAACAGGTTTCTTTTTATAAAAATTTAAATGGTGGTTATACTGACTGGTTTTTGACTACTAACTAGAATCTTAATAACGATTTTAGACTAAATGTGTGTTATTTATATTATATTTTTATTCTGCAATTAAAACGTTAGAATTGAGGCTTACACTTGATGGAACAATGTATGTCGTGGAAAATACAAGAAAGGCGCAGAAAAGCGTGATTACGAACACCACAATGTAGAATTTAATAAATGTTATTACTTTCGTAAGACGAATAAATGCAGCAATATATAAACTATTGTCTGTGAAACGCAGTTGCGCACTCAAGGGTAATATACCCTGATAATATACACTCTGGTATCTTATATCTGATATGGCTTGGCGTTCAAAACATTGATTTGAAGCTTTCTAGCTATTTATAAACATTAATGCGTGATCTTAGAAAACATTGAGTTAAACATGCCCTAAAATAGACCTTAAGATAAACTTTTCGTGATATTTCACAGAAAAAAAAAAAACGTTATTAAAACGTAGGCTAAAGGTCATTTTAAATTAGTCTTTGTATATATTTCCACACATATATACTTTATATACGTACTGCACTTACATTTCCCAACCAGTGTGCATTTTCATAAAGTACTACGAATAAAGTAAGTTTATCCTGTTCTTTCGTATCTCTATTATCTTTGTATAGCAATTATATGTATCTGAAAAATGCATCAATAACTAGGGGAACTTGAAATAGAAATCTATCAGGATTACAGTTCTATTTTACGCAGTCAAATAACAATTAAGATTCTGGATCTAAACCTATATAGTAAATATTAGATTGTATCTATTACTCATGAGAAGGAAACAAAGGCTGTGTACCGCCTTCCCTGATCTTGCACTGCTGACAAAAAGGAACACAGCCAGTCAGCATTACCTCACCACATTAAGGGATTGAATGCCACTCTTATAACGCATCCACAGCTTAAAGAGTGCGAAATATTTCGTGGCGTCAAATGGGATTGAACTCTACTCATCAGTTACGAAATCTAGAGCTCAACCACATCATACGCGTCCGTATGATAAATATAATTTTTTGATGTTTTCACTAATCGTTTTTCTTCGAGTGTGGTGACAAGCTTTTTCTTGTTAATCTTCTGTAATTACTGTAATTCACGGACAAAATCTCTGCACACAAAAACAAGTAATTTTTTTAAATAATTCAATTTTTCCAACTACCATTAGCCGATACAACTGTTGACAACTTATAGCTTCTATATATCAAAATGTAAAGTAGTTTTGTGGAATAAATAAATTGAAATCTACTAAAGCTAGCAGCGTTATAATCTAATTAGTATTCTAGTTGAACTAGTCTGTATAACTTGTGTAATAGAGTAAACACACTAGTAATAATACTAATGGATGTAAGTATGATAGATCTGTGTTGTTATAAATTTCATGATCTATCATGTTATATTATTTACACAAAAATCTAAGAAAATAGCAGGATTTTAATTCCTCGCTGAAAGTAATTCAAATATTTGTTTAGATCTTGAAATACAGTTCATCTTCTTGATGACACATAGGCAAAGAATAGCCGCTACAGGATTGATAAACAATCAATAATCTCTTGAAGATTCCTTGGGAAATCTCATGTACTAAAATATTAATTCAACTGCTTGATGTCTGCTTCTCATATGTTTTATCTGGGCACAGATGATCGTCTTTTTGAACAGAGTTGTTTAAACATTTGTTTAACAACAGGTAAAAGCTTGGAATGGTCTATTTTTTCATTGGGGGTGTGTCTGTGGGTCAGACTAGTTTCGGAGAATTCCGCTCCTCATCAAATACCTATAGAATGTTAGTTTTCTTTTTTGTGAGTGTAAAACACTTAAAAACACCATCTCGATTTT